CCTCCCCGGCTTTGCTCCAGGTGTCCCTGGTCTGCTGGAGATGGTCCCCAGCAGACCAGGGGCACCCGGAGCAGGTTCTCTCGCCCTGGAGGTCGAGGTGGCGGGACCGCTGCGCTCTGGGCAGTCCCGCTGCCTGCGAGCTCCGGGGCGAGAAAGCCCCGTTCGTAAGTGTGGATCCGACGTAAGTTGGATCCGCGTAAGTCGGGGACTGCCTGTACAAGATTAAGAATTTCTGATGTAGCAAGTTAAATCAAACTGTAGAGTTTGAAGTAGGGATGTTAGATAGTAGGTTATAGAATAGTGGACTAACCACACAAATTCTTAGCGGTCAGTCAACTACTCTATAGCCTCCAGGGGCAGGGCCAGCAGCCAGCTCCAGCTCCAGCCCCACTCCCAGGGAGCCCCCTGCCACCCTGCACTGCTGCATCCGAGGCAGCAGCATGGGGTACCAAGCAGAAGCTGGTTTAAACCAGATGCCTGCCACCCAACTGCTGCTACCTTTGATACAGAGGCAGTAGCTCCCCCCCACCATCTGTTCACGTGGGGGGGGGGTGCGCCAAGCTCACCATGGATGGAGATTACTGGGGCAAGGGGAGAGGAGGTAGGGGAGGCTGCCACAAATCAGCCTCTGTGGACAGTGTCCTGGCTGTCCTTTTAAGCCAGCTCCCCACAGCACCAGCTCTTGCTTTCCCCCGCCTTGCTGCCTGTAATACAGAGGTGGGGGGAGGGGGAGGAGAGAACACTCGGTAGTCAACTAGATTAACTGATAAGCCTAGGCTAATCAATTAGGGTTAGTATATAGTTGTCTACTCATTTACATCCCTAAGTGTTAGTATTGTGCAATCTATTCTTCCAAAGTGGAGTGGGACAACAGTCAACAGTTATTAGTTCTGCTCTTAGCCTTTATATCAAATAGAGTGGCAACAAGTCAGAAGGGAACCCCATTTCATTCTTCTAGTCTTATTCTTGCATCAAGAAGGAAAACAGGAACTGTATTCTTTCCACTTGAGGTGAAAGTGATTGTGGGGAGGCACAAGACAGAGAGAGATTATAGATTACAGGACAGCAGAAAAGAGCAATGTACCCACAAAGAAAATGAACATAACAGGAGTGAGAAGGACACCGCTCTTTTTCTTTCCACCTCCTTCAAACACTGCAAGCAGCCATTCTTTCTGGGCATCAGACACACCAAGTCTCCTCCCTCCCCCAGTCTCCCTAATCAAGATTGTTGCAGTTTTTACTAATCTAAGGAGGTCCACTTAAAAAACAACCAACCAACCAAACACACACACAAACCAGTAAGACCTCCCCCCCAAAAAAGTCACATTGTAAAACCTTGGGGGAACATTACAGATGGTTCAATTTCTAGGCATTTATTCTGGAAAGAGAAAAGGACATGTAGTGCAATTTAAAAAAACAAACAAACAAACAAACATGCAGAACAAACAGTGTGCATCTTACTGTAAAGCCTACAAAAGTCTTGTAATCTACCTTTAAATAAATATGCACTTGTTAGAAGAACTAACCTCTGAACCAGCCTGGGTAAACCTGAAGATATTGTCTATGAAGAGAAGCACATCCTGTCCTTCTTGATCACGGAAATATTCAGCGACTGTCAAACCAGTCAAAGCTACTCTGGCACGGGCACCTGGAGGCTCATTCATTTGACCATACACAAGTGAAACCTGGAATTTAATTCATCCCAGAAATAAAGTTAGGCTCCTACACTTTCTATAGATAAAGCCACACTATAGAAGGAGATATACTATATTCAACACCGACATGCTTTGGACCAACTGTGAAGCAAAGGCTAGGGACAAAGGCACATTTGCGGTGTAATCTGTTTACTTTTTAAAAAGTGTATGTATTTTTCCTAAACCGTGAACACTTTTAAAAGACTAGATGAAGCTTTACAGACTTAATTTTCATTCTGATCTAATAAGTTAGTATGATACTTAAGCAGCCAAGGTGACTGATGGTCCACATTAGAATCTGTGGACCTGCCTAACGAAGAAAATGATAGTACAGTAGAAGCTCTGTTATCTGGCACTTAATTTACCAGAAACCTCAGTTAACCAGCATTTCTGGTGTCTCCCAGTACAAGTTTTCAATCTAATAACTGGGACTAGTATAGCACCCAGCACCTTATGCAATTAAACATTCTGCACTTGTCTTGTGTCTCTTGCAGGAAAGAGAAGCAAGCAAGCTGAAATCAGGGATTTTATTAAAAAAAAAAAGCAGCCTTTAGTGTCATAGGGTTATTATAGATTCAGCCCAATCTCTTACATCTATAATAATAACTGATGAGGACCATGAGGCAAGATCCTGAAGTGCCTTCTGAATCAAAACATTGTTATATTTAGTTTTACTGATGCATATACCATGCACAAACCATCACAATACAGTGTCATAAAATATCCTACTGTATCTAATATATAAAGGAGAATGTTTGTGCTCTAATAACTTGACACTATAAGAGCTACCGCAACTTCTTCCTCCAGGAGAAGAGATTAAAAACTTCTGGAGGAAAGGTTTTAAGGTACTTTTGGACCCAATCAAGAGTCCCGCCCTGCCCCCCCCACCGCACCTGTGTCCCCGGATGTGAGCCAGTGTGCCCCACCCGCATGTAACCACCCCTCCACCCAGGGCTGCTCCACACCTGCCACCGGAAACCAAAACCAGCCAGCCTTTCTGCTCAGCTTGCTGGGCTTATCCGAGCAGAAAGAATCTGTGTGCCTGCTGCAGCGCAGGGGCCAAGATAAACCTTCGATGCATTACACTTCCATGAAGCCAGCCAGCTGCTGTACATACTGTGAGTGGGGCTCTTCTCTGTCTGGTTCCAGCCATCAGGGTTAGATATGAGCTCTGAGCTTTTGCTTGCCAAGGCATGGCAGGTGGATCCCTGAGCCAACCTTGCAAAGAGAACCCCCCTTGCTACTGGTCGCATGACTGTACTGTTCTCCTGGAGGCTGGCTGCTTAGTGCTGGAGGGAGGAGGGTCCTGTTGCTCTCAGAGGGTCAAGTGTGGGCCAGGAGCCTTCAGCCCCCAGGGTCTGTGGCTCTGGGCGTCCCCTAGCTCAGGGTCCCCTCCTTTCCTAAATGTTGTTCCTCCGGTTTCCCGAGCAACGCCAGCTAAGTCCAGCTAGTAGGTGAATATAGATACTGTTAAGCACTTCAACAAACCAACCACTCTGCAGTGCAGTACTACTATTGTATATTCTTTTAAAGCATATTCATTTTACTGTATTCTAATGCTTTGAAAATTGATATTCTATTGGTAAAAAAATATTTAACTGGCACCTTCCAACCATGTCAAATTACAGAGCTTTTACTTTATGTAAGTCAAATTGCCACACCTTGCATAGAGTGATTTTTTTCTTTGAAAAATTATATTAAAATAGTATGTTACCAATCCTCTGTATTTACCACAAACAATTGGGGGAGAGGGGGCATGTGTGGGTTTGTTTGAATACTCAAAACTTTGAAGTTAGTTACCTTGGAAGTGGCATCCTTCAGGTTGATGACACCAGATTCAATCATTTCATTATACAAGTCATTACCCTCTCGTGTACGCTCCCCTACACCAGCAAAGACCGAATAGCCCCCATGGGCTTTAGCAACATTGTTAATAAGTTCCATAATTAGTACAGTTTTTCCTACACCAGCACCACCAAAGAGCCCTGAAACAACAGTGTGCCAATACAGTTGAGTTTGGAATCGTAAATTAATGTAATTACATGCAGCTACGATATCACACTATTATCACTCAAAATGCCTGTTACCAGTATAGGAATGATAAGCTAACTAGACTAAAAACAACCCAGTCTACAAGTTGCTACTGTTAGAAACATCCATTTTCAACAGTAAGTTCACTTTTCTGTCAATAGAGCACTTCCTAATAAGCACACAAATTTAGGAAAAATAAGACTAAAGTTTAAAAGTTTGCTTTATAATGTATCTCCCTCACACCAAATTACAAAATGTTTTATGTACTGGTTGCAAACATTTACTGTATATCTATTTGCTTCAAAAGAAACTTACCAATTTTACCTCCTTTGGCATATGGAGCCAATAAATCTACAACCTTAATACCAGTCACAAGAATTTCTTGTTCAACGCTCATATCTTGGAATTCAGGAGCTTCAGCATGAATAGATGCAAATCTGTAAAGAAGACGTTTAGCTATTTTACTTTTTGTATTTATCATCAAAGTGTCAAGAAAAAAAACTGTTCAGAGATACTGAATAAAGTGGTTATATTAGACAAACTTGATTCTGGCTAAGGGCCACTATGTAAAATTTAGATGCAACAACAGTGAAAATTAGATGTGCAATTCAAACAATACTGGATATGCCAATGATGACAGAAATCCCTGTCAAAGGATTCCCTGTTCTTCACAAACATACACCAGAACTGACAGATTCACTACACAAAATACACATCTTGCAGGTTATTTAGCCATAAAGAGTAACATGTAAAAGTATCAACAGAAAGCTTGTAATTTAAGATTGATAATGGTTGCAAGAAGGGATGTAAAACCCCATTTAAATGCAACATTTCACAGGTTGCAGGGGCTGAAATGACACCCCTCAACACCCCCCCCTCGCCTGCCCAGAGCAGCCCCCCTTTACCCTGGCCATGGCAGGCAGGCAATCGCTCCAGCCCCCTCTCGTTAACAGGAAACGGTAAGCATCACCCATTAAAGGTAACATTTACCTGTTAAGCTTTCACATCCCTAGCTGCAAGAGATATACCAGTAATATTTAAGAAATAACATTTATAGTGAAAGTATGCTTTATGGACTGAAGATAAATTAGTCACCAGAAAATAATGTGCCTTGGTAATCGCCAATTCAGGCAAGGAGCTTTTGCCATCCTGCCCTCTAATGAGTGATGCAATACAGGATTCAACTATTCAACCCTGCTCAACACTAAGGCTTTCAATGAAAAACCATCAGAGCAATAACTTCTCTCCCCCCCCTCCCCAAAAAATCAAAAGAAAGGTGCAAAATAAATGTGACAGACAGGGAGAAATCCTTATTCTCTCTAAATAAGACTGCTTTTATTTTTACCATAATGCTAGGTGTTTTACAGTACAACTGGTAAGAGGAGTTACTGTAATTTGTGAGTAGCCAGTGTCACATGCTACTCATAGCAAATGATTCCAAGGAACTCAGGGGATTTGGGATGCACCTACAATTAACATGCATGATGAATTTAGGGCTGGCATAGCCCGAAGAGGAATGTTTAAGCAGCTGAAAAGCTGGAAGTCAAAGAAACAAAGCCCACCTACCACTAAAAACCCTCCCTTTTGCTTAAAATAAAGTGACACTCAGCCCTGGATCTCTCACGAATCATTACAGCAATAAATTGACCTTCAAAAACATTTTAAGTTAGCACAATGGACTTTACAGAAAAGTGCTTATTTGCCAATCCTCTGCTGGATTTCTGTATTAACCATTTACAAGGAAGTCATGCCAGTTGTGAATACTGCAAGACATGATCACAAATTTTCAAATACTGATTTAGCACAATTAAAATTCCCTTCCTTATCTTTATGGGGCATACACTGCTTCACCTTTGCAGATGCCAAGGATATTGCCTGTAGTGCAACCAGTTGGTTAGGAAAGAATGTAGCTTTTTATAAGCTGCAGAACCAAGCTTCCCACATAGTCAAGCCTATTGACCCTCCACTGTATAGGTCCACTAGTGACTCTCCCCACGCACAAAGGAAACTAAAAAAAAAGAATCATGGAAGCAGAACACTGGCCTTTGCTGCTGCCATACCTGTTGCCTGGGATGAGGGAGGAAAAAAAATCCCTTCTTCAGTTACTAGGGAATTTCCCCACATTAAATGCAGTTACTTGAGCTGTAAACTTTGCTCAAAATTCTATCCCCAGTAAACAATGAAGAGATGCAACTACTGCACATTTCCAAACTTATTTTTAGTTTCTTTGGGCATGGCAAGAGGATTCTTCCCCTACCCACTCAAGCTGTTAATCCTGGACCCTCTCACCACTCCACTACCTCTCAGCACTAGCCAATGACCCCAGAGTCCAACTCACTCACCCCTACCCCCAGTGCCAGCCTTCTGTTTCCAGAGCCCCAAATCCCCTCGAGCCTCCCCCCAGTCCCAGCCCCCAATATTAGCTCCATTCACAGAATCTCCCAAGTGCCAGTCCCACCTCCGGAGTCCCCAGTGCCTGCCCTGCTCCTAGCCCTGCACTGCCTCCCAGCAGAGTGCTGCTGTCCAGGTCACAGTTGCTCTAAGACTACTGTGCCAGGCTCCATGCAGCCCACCCAGCGCACAACAAACTGCTCTTCCAGAGTTAGGAAGAGACCCCACCCCTGCCCGGTGACAGCCCAGCCCCCCCAACATACACACAGGATCAGTGGTGTCTGCAGCACAAATGACAGGGGTGAGTGCACGTTTCTGATGGCTTGAGAGTTCCTCCCCAGGCCATTAAGTCAGGGCCTAGAGGTGCAGGGACACTCAGCCCACGTGCATCTTGCGCTTGCAGCACTCTCCCAAAAGCTGAGCGGTACTTGACTCCTGACACCCACTATTGAGTCAGAGAACCTGGCTTTCCCCACAACTCCAACCAGTGCTGCTGGCTGCAGTACCCCAGGACACTGGGACATGGCAAGACACATGGTGCAGGCTGGAGCCAGCAGGGGAGACCCCACAGGGGAAGCTGGAAATCAGACACCCAGCACAGCTCTCTGGGGCCTCTAACCTGATCCTCCTTGGTGTCGATAAAGGCTAGGACACTCACGGCTGCATAGGTTCTGCTTCCTGGTCCTGAACACGCCACCCACAATAGAAAGGACACGAAGCAGCCACTTGCCACACAGTCCCGCCAGCTGGGCTACATGGCTACCTCAGCAGAGACAGCCTCACCATGGACCAGTTCCAGCCACTGCACATGGGGCAGCCCACAGCACCACTTGCTGTGGAAGGAAAAATGTTGGTGCATGTGCAAGCGCGCATCTTATAGGGAATGGTGCTTCCCAGGGGCCAGGACGCTTTAGCAGTTGGGGGCATGGCCTGGCAGAGAAACCGCTGGTTTATACTCTGAAGATATTATGGCTGCTCTTTCAGAACATTAACTTCATAGATTTGAAAAAAACTTTACTATGCAGAGAAAAAAATTGCTACTTTCCTTTTTTAGTAATTTACATTTAACACTGTACTGTATTTGCTTCCTTCCCACCCACCCCAACTTCTGCTGCCTGATGTGGAACCAGTAATACACAATGGAGGTGTGTGGTTGCTTGTTTCATAACTGAGGTTTTACTATATGTGGGATACAACTGAAGACTATCATAAAGCATATGCACAAGAACATAACAGCCACACAGTCTATCCCTTTTAATTATTCCTAACATTGTTTGCTTTTATTTAAAAAATAAACTGGCACTGCACGTTGAGTGGGTGGCTAAATTAAGATAGCAAAAGCTATCTTACTTCTGGCATTTTCCAACTTCTGAGTTTGTTCTTTGCAATTTTCATGATATTAATTGGATCTAGATTTTTGTATTTGTCAATACATCTTATTCTCCTTCCCATAAGGAAGGAAGCTATACTGATACAGGCACTTCTATACTAGTAAACTGCATCCATATTAGGGAGGTTACATTTCTTTAACTACACAGGTATAGTTATTGTGGTACAACTTATGCTTAGAAAAGCCTTTAGATTCATACATGCACTTCTTTAATGGCTACCTTCAGAACAATATACCAGTAACAGCATTTTTTTCCTCTAAATAAACCAAGTTTAAAAATACTCACTGTTTGGTTGCAATAGGCCCTCTTTCATCAATTGGTTCACCAATCACATTCATGATCCTTCCCAGTGTTTCTGGCCCAACTGGAATTTTTATAGGAGCCCCCGTGTCCAGAACTCTCTGCCCACGGGTTAAGCCTTCTGTACCATCCATGGCAATTGTTCGAACAGTACTTTCACCTAAGTGTATAAAAGGCAAAATTTCTGAGAGTTTACCTCATAGCAGGAGAACTAAAGAACCTTTGAAGTAGTTATGTTCAGAGATTTCAGCACTGAGTCAATTTATGTGGTACTGTTGGACACTGAAACAAAATACAGGACTATGTAGCACTTTAAAGACTAACAAGATGGTTTATTAGATGATGAGCTTTCGTGGGCCAGACCCACTTCCTCAGATCAAATAGTGGAAGAAAATAGTCACAACCATATATACCAAAGGATACAATTTAAACAAATGAACACACATGAAAAGGACAAATCACATTACAGAACAGAAGGGGGATTTGGGGGGGGGAAAGGAAGGTGAATGCCAGGGAGTTAATGATAAGTGTTTGGGAGAGCTGTCCTGCCCTAGCCATCTCAATTATAGCCCAAGAGACTCTGCAATTCTGTGGCATCTTGAAGAAAGCAGTAGAAGTAGCTGCAAATAACCCACATTTAGTGCAACTGCCTAATAGTGTCCTGTCTTCATAACATGCCAAGAATGATCTTGTGTTCTCCAGCTTTCCCCACAAGAGGGTGTTAGATGGATTACAGTACACAATCCATGCAGCATTTCTTTGACCTGGGCAGCATGGAGACATGGAGCCAGAACTGGAGTCCAGCTTGCTGCCAAGGAATATGGAGGAGATGAGTGCAGGCTAAGCAGCTGGGATGTCAGGAAAACAATGTACAGTAAAACTCCATTAGTCCAGCATCCAATGCTCCGGGACTCCTGATGGTCCGGCACCATCAGGAACCCGGAAGTGCTGGGGCTGCCGGACAGGCTTCCCCATTCAGCTGCTGCTGAAACTGACCAGCAGCTGATTCCAGGAAGCCCGGGGCAGAGCTGCTCTATTGCAGGCATTCCCCAATCA